CGCTTTGCGAACACACACACATGCACACACACACAGACAGCCTCTCGACAATATGCGTTTTTGCTGACTGTGCAGCGCTATAGCGCTGCACAGCAAAAACGCATAAAAAAGCATAAAAATCCAAATGCGCTCCCTTTATTCTAAAATAATAGTATTATTTTGAGCATGGGTCTGGTGTTATTGTCGAAGGTTTGAAAGGTGATTTTAAGCTTTCCGAGCATCTCAAACAGTCAAATGAAACAGTCCTAGCATTCTGAGTTTCTAAAACTCACTGCATACTGAAATCAAATGACCACTCTGAATTTGCAAATAAATTCATGGGTCGCATGTTTGAAACCTGATTTCGCGGACATGGTTTGAAACCTGACTTCGGTATACGTAATTAATCAGTTACGGCTTATAATATTTCTCACGCAGCTGACAACTCTTTTAGCTGTTTGATCAATACTGCTTTACCCTGGTGGTTAGCCTGCTTGCGTTCCGGCTCTATCAGTAGAAGCACTCTGATATGGCCTGAACCTTTTTGTGGTATCGCTAATGTATACTGAGTATCAATACCTCGTACAGAATGTTTCCATTCCAAAAATCACGATGTGATGCTCAGAAATTTTGCTTGACTTGCAGCTTCAGCGCTGGATTCCGTTGGCGCTCATTGTACAGTTTTTCTTTTATATGGCCTGGACAAAAGTTGCAATGGTTCTAATCAATCCTTTTGGCGAAGACGACGACGACTTCGAAGTAAACGCACTGATTGATCGCAATTTTAAGGTAGGCTAACAGAGAACACTATGAGCTCCGCAGCTCCCCAACTTGCGCATTTTGAATTTCAACATTTCGATTAAAGCTGCATACGTAAAATACATACAGAACCACGAACTCGCTACAATGCCCTTTTATAAAATTAATTAGTGTAAAAATGCATAAGAGACACTGATTCTCTAAAAACTACAGATTGGAATGCGCATAGCGGATGCGCAAAATAATAGTATTCCCGTTCAACGAAAAGATTCGTTTTGGAATCGTGATATTGAGACGCTGTATAGTGAACAGTCTGCTAAAATCAATGAGAAACTGGATGGTTTGGTCGGATCCGCAGCAAGGCTTGAGTATACTGTTATTTCTTATTAAACTGCTTCCTAAGTTTCCATGTTTGAATTCCGACGACGTCAGTTAGACAAACGCAACAATGGAAAAAGAGATTTGGAAGAACTACATTTAACAAATTAAAAGGGAACTGAGTACTTTGTTCTTAGCAGATTGTGCTGACCACTGCACTATCAGTTAATCTTCCCCCGAAGACCTCTTTGCGCAAACAGCTTGTTTTAAAACTGTTGGATCAAGCGAATTTCAAGGATTCCAAACTCTACTGGCTCATTGCGTGTCATCCGCTAAAAAAGTTTTTTTTTCTAGAAGCGCATTTTAAGTTAAAAAATTAATTCTTTTTTCGTAATGCACTTTCGCCTAGAAGCAGAGGCATTCTGTTATACATGTCAGCAACATTCATCCACCGACAACGCTGTCGAAAACCGTTTTTTTTTCGAGAGTTGTTCAGGCTCGGGCTAGTACTGGTTTTGATTCTCTGACGTAGGCTAATATCAACTTACTAGGGAAATAAAATGAGCGAATCGTGGAAGAACTATTGTCTTTACTTGTAGAGTCAGCCCTCATCTTTTTTCAGCATGCGAAGAGAGCTACTTACTACCGCGCCGTGCTTGCCTTTACGTTTGTCTGAATATGATAAATTGGCTTGGAAAGGTACTTTGATATCAGCAACGAGCAGAAAAATCATTTACGCTTCGCGGGTGACATATTGCGCACTGCGGACGAGCTCGCAAATTTACGAGATGCCGCAGATGCTCAGCTTATGAGGTGAGAAAGTGCGCCTGGAAATCAAAGCACGGGAAACGAAAGTGATTTGGAGTACCAGTTCCTCATGACCAGATTGCAGACAGGCGACGATGAAATGAAAAAATTGACAGTTATGTCTACCTCGGTCAAGAAAAAGACATGCGCCATAACCTGAGTCTCACACTGAAAATCAAAAACCCGCCGACTGGAGAAATTTGATAGCACTGCCTACATCCTCATAATGTCGTGATAGAGGGGCAGAGGTTTTGTGTTCAAGGCGGGTCTAAACGTGGACAGTGTCGAAAGCAGAAGAGTGCACGCTCGCTGTGATGGAGAAGGATCAGAAGGAAAGGTGACTGAAGTGCTTATTTACGAAGCAGTCAAAGGACAAACGGCAGGCAGGACATCAGTGCGACCACATGGAAAAGATAAAATCTTGTTTGGTAAGAAGTGTCTCTCGCATTGTTGACAACCACCGCTGGATGTCACATACAGGATAGTGCAAACGACCATTACAGCTGCCCCGAAGATGTGATGCTATACATCGAACAGATGAAGGATACTGAAGGAGGGAATGCGGCTTAGGGACGAGGAGCTATTGCTGCTAAACCAGGTGTTTGTGTATATCTTAGTAACTTCACTTGCGCTTAATTCCCACACCAATTGACCGGCAGTTTTATCAACTTTGGTAATGCTAGATTAAGTAATTGCTTTTTAGTGGCAATTCTGAAATTTTTTGAACCAGTTTGGCACTCATCCCACTAATCCGTACGTCGCTAACTTGGATCGGTTTAACTTGAAGTTAAATTTTATAACAGCATTTTGTTTAAATTCTGCACTCATTTCGCCAAGCTCCTCGCCTCTTTGCTTAAATTTTTTACCATTTCCGCAGCTTTTTTTCGACACTGAGTTTTGAATATTTTTTTAAAATTTTTTTTCAGGTCTTTACACAGATGCAACTGATACATATATAACGCTAACAAGTTCTTATAGCGTTGTAACTTTGCAGGCAGTCACCAAAGATATCTGAAATGGCTTACGACAATGCGACAGTTCCCTCAAATTGTTAATATTTCACGTAACCATATTGTTTGGAAATTGCAGGGTGCCAAATTATTCGGAAAAAGTGCTGATGATACCGCTGAAACGAAGAAGTACTGTACTTCCGAGTATCCGCTCATCAGATCTAGGCGGAAGAATTTTAAAGCTAAGTGTCGTGGAAGGCGTAAAGTACTTTCTTTTTTGGGTTTTAGAAAAAAATAATAGGGACATGGAAGTATTCTGTATTCATAGAAATGTGTATAAATACGCCTTCTTAAGAACTCGTAAAACGACAGTGCGGGCGTGTTTTGCGGCTTTTTATGCCTTTTTGCATGTATGCAAATGTAAGAACGCACATTACGACGACCCATGTGCGTGTGTATGTTTGTGTGTGTATGTGCGTCTGTCCGGGTATTTCAGTTTGGCAACCAAGCAAGTTTCGGCGCTGAAATTTTGCAAGTGAGGTTTGTTGTGTGTTTTTGCAACCTTTTGACAATATGCGTTTGTGTAAATGCAAAAACATATAGTGTCGAGAGGTTATCGGTATGAGCCCATGGATGTATGTATCTGTGCGTGTTCGGATTTTTTCACCCAGATTCAGCTCACTGTTGCTAAACTTGCCACAAATGCAGCGTCCAAAATTCTGTGTCTGTGCAATTCACTTCTAGGCCAACACTTTTCGCTGTGGAGCTTTTCGACCTAGCCAAGCATTCTGAGACTGGTTTCGTAGGCCCATAATTGACCCATGCAACGCTAGCTACACGACGTAATACTGTGTCGAAATAATCTTTAACCCTACCTTGTGTGTGTGTATTTGTGTTTGTGTCTCTGTGTATAGTAATACATCTGTCGGGGTTTTTTCCAAGACTATCCGACATACATTATTTGCCATAAGTCTCTCATCAGGCTTTTTGCACAATCAGTATTACAGCGCACATAACGAAAGTTGACAATGATTATCAGTGGTCACAGTAAGTAACAAACTCAGAGATGTGGGTTTTGCCAGTTTAACATATCATTGTCCGATTACGAGTAACCAGCGTGATCAGCTGCTAAGCAATCTCGAAAAAAACTTGCTTTATCTAATTTTCATTTCCAGTATTGGTGGGAGACAACGCAGCCAGAAACGATCTATGCGAAGAGCGACGAGCCCGTGGTAAATACATTTCGATCATTTTCCTCATAACAAAATAATTTTTATAAATGTAACAAATCAAAGCATTGAAATTACATTTTAAAAGTTACGAAAAATTTATAAAAATTGAGGACGGGCAGCTATTTTTATTACGAAGCACAAAAATTGATCGGCCAGAACATCGCTAGTATGTTTTACCGCTTCCGGTAATATGTACAACAACAAAATTTTGGACGATGGCGATTATTTTGCTCCATCACTACACAAATATATTGATCCCGCAGTGCTTATTTGGAACTCTACAAAAGCGTCGGACATGCTTTGTAGGGTATTCCACAAAACTTCCCCGTTTAAAGGAACAAAAATAAAGTTAGGGTTGCAGTTGACAACCATTCTAGTTATTTTATTCAGGGTTGCCAGGTTTCGAGTTACTTCTGAGTCAAGTAAACCAAACATTTCTTCCAAATGGTAAGTGTGAGCATGTCAGCAATCAGGATTCCGTCAGACAGGTGTCACGCAAAAACACCTCAAGTGTGCATAACCGTGTAAATTTCGACGCTGTCTTGATGGGGAATGTTGCTTTTGCTAATGGGATGTTGCACGCTAGTGGCTGGTACCGTCGAGGCATAAAACGACTAATTACATGGCTTCTGAAGGGACAGTGTATTGACGTATTGAAAACGATGGGTACAGAATGGAAACAAACTAGAATGACTAGATATATGTTCATCGCACATGTCTGCTGTAACTCGGTAATGATGAGGCTTTCAAAACGATAAATTCGTAATCCTTTTTGGAGAAATCTCACCTGTTTTAACATATCTCAGCGGGTTTTTTAATCTACATCGCATTGTTATCAAGCAAACCAATTTTTACGCGTTTTTGCATATATGCAAATGCAAAAAAGCATATTGTGATGACCCATGACGTATTTTGCGTGCGTATGTTTGTGCTTGTGTGTGTGTGTGTGTGTACTTGTGTACGTGTGCATGTGCGTGCGTGTGTGCGCCTGTCTAGGTATTTCAATTCGGCAATTAAACGAGCCTTAAGATCGGGATTTTTCCGCTGAGTTCCTTGGCCCAAGCGCTACCCCTGGAACGCTGTACCAAATTTCACACGTCTGACCTTCGCGTGCGGGCACTTGAAAGTTTTAGCAGGAAAAACACCAACCTGAGAATCAGAAAAGCTATAACACTAAAATTATGGGAAAATTTTCTCTTTCCACGCGCGATTTGAAGATTTCAAATCTCGTTCCCAAGTGCACTTCGTCTCACATACTGACATGTAAAATTTTTAGCGGAAAAGCTAACTCGGAAGCTGACACAGCTAAATCATTTTCAGTAAACGACTGTTCAACGAATTCTTTTTATGCGTTTTTGCTGTGCAGCTATAGCGCTGCTACAGCCAGCAAAAATGCATATTGTCGAGA